AAAGAAATTAATATTATCGTTAATTGACACAATTGTTAACGTGGAGTGACTGACTTTCGTGTGTGTGCGTGTATGTGTGCGTAATTGGTGAATAAACAAAAAAAGTCTTTCTTTCGATCGCTCGAGAATTGAGAAGGCCTGAGAGCAAGTTTTCAAATCTTAAACATCTTCTTACTGGCACTCTTTATTGTCCGACATATTCAACTATATCACTTCAATCAATAATAAAAACAATCACTTTGACATTTATCATCGTATCGTCTTTATTAGAGACTTTAACAAAAAAAAAAAGAAGGTTATAACCGTAGAATATAATGTCGCTTTAATAATTGATTAATTATCTTCAATTTTAAGACTGTTTAACGAATAAATGAACAGGCGAATGTGACGAAAAGCTTCAATATTACAACGTTCTATTTAAAGAAAAAAATAAAAAAGTAAAAAAAAAAAATAGTCTGTCCTCCAAGATACAATAGTTAAACGAAAAATATATAGAAAGAACGACTGACCAATACGACGGGCAGAACCTTCCGGTCAGTACGTCGGGAATAATCTTGCTGATTCAGAACACTATTAAAATCTTTCTGAACCGATGTACAACGGAATAAGCTTCAAGTAGGAAGATTAGGAAGAACCAGTTTCATTCCTTTCTTCTGTTCTTCGAACTTGAGAGAGAAATCACTGACAAAATGAAACGGACCCTCCATTTGGAAACAATTATTGTTGGAACAAATTAAGAAATCCCCTTTAGATCGCATTCCTAGAAACATACTGTAACTCTAATCTTGAGCAAAAGATGGCCAAACTTCGAAAATCGTACAATTTGGACAACTCGTTAGGCGATACGAAAATCTTTAGAGCTAACAATTATCTACATTCGATCTGTGTTTCTAAAAACTAGCGAGTAGAAATTTAAGCGTTTCTTGAAAACCGAACTTGAGGGATCGATCGATCGCCCAGCGAGGAATTGCTAGACGACAAGAGCCGGAGCGAGCAGGCTTGCTCAGCCCTGCAGCTTGAATCGTTCGTGCCGCACTCGAGTGATCCTAAGCTGAGACTGTTCTGTGGAACACGAGCGAGAATGCGAAACGAGGTGAGCGAGCATCGTGAGAGAACGTGAACGAGGCCGTCTCGATATTATTTTTCGACTCGACTGTTTAGTATCTATGACGAAAAAAAAAAAAGAGAAAAAAAAAACGTTTTTATGTGAATATTGCGTAAGGAAAGTCGTTGCAGCGTGGACGGACTTGCGTCGGAATCGTGGCCACATCTGTGTTCAAATTTAAATCTAAAATTTCGGCTCCGGTCGGTTTCGATCGATCTTGATGTGTCGCTCGATTGGCAAAGTAATTCGGTATCGGAAGAATAATAAAACCCGCGGGCCACGAATCTCACGTGCAAAACAACGTTGCGACGACGTCGCTCCTCCCGCCCCCTTTTTTTATTCTCCAATTTCTACGTGTTTAATCGTTAAGCGAAAAACAGCTGAAGGAACAGAAAGAGTGCAACGAGTGAAATGAAAGAGAAAG